TCCTGTACTAGGTGAGAGGTTTATATGGGAAAAAGTGGAGGGGTCAGCTGACCCCAGCTGGCCACGTCAGTGACAGGGAGTGGGTGGAGGGTTGGGCCATACTATAGGCTTTATGCCAACCTGGGTGGCAGGGTTGAATGAGTGGCTATGCAGCTAGACTGAGGTCCCAGGTTCTAGCCCACACCTGACAGCAACCTGGCTCTTGTAGTCTAGGCAAATAAACTGATTGAAAGGACAGAGGGGCTTAGCTAACCTTTTACCTACAAGCCAGTTTCTCCAAAATGGGGTGAGGCACATTAACTGCACAGAGGGAGAACTGGCAATTGCAATCTATACAAATCATTCTTTAATGGCTCCATTAAGCTATGACAGTCCTAATCAATGCTGCAACCAAGAGTTACTAGATTACAGGTTGCTCCTATTTGGACTGTTTCTTGGTGACACCGCTCATTCTTGTGATACAGTATCCTCCACTGCAGGGCTGCACTGATGGGATTGTCAAGAAAAACAGCTTACTTCTTTTACCTAAAATGTAGGGGGAAAGGGTCTGGAAGGCCCTCAGGAAGTCATCTAGCCTAACCTCCTGCCCTATGTGCACCTGTGGTGCTTAACCTTCAGCCGGCAGGCCACACCTGGCCTATGGGTCTCCCCACAGGTCTGGAAATTTGGCAGCAGTGACAGCACTAATTACTGCTTCTGTTGCCAAATTTCTGGACCTGTGAGGAGCCCTGTTGGCCAGATGACAGCCCTATAAACTAGATCAGGCCAGCACACAGAGTTAGGCCAGCACACAAGGCCTGATCCAGGTGTGCAGGGTCAGGACACTGCACAGGGCCCAATCTGGGCATGCAGGGTCCAATCCAGGTCAGGCTGGCATGAGAGCAGATCCAGGCACACGGGCTTTTATTGGGTGCACAGGCCTGATCCAGACATGCTGGGTCAACACCCACAGGCTGACCCCATGCACCACTTGTGCTTGTGGGATCCAGCCTGCAGACCAGCTCCACACCTTCCATCCAGCTCATAGCTGAATAGGCTGAGCACCACTGGTCTACACTATCCCAGACCACTTTGTCCCACCTGTCCTTAAAAGCTTCCAATGATTGAGACTCCACCATCCCTCAGGAATCTGTTCCAGTGCTGAACCACTGTCAGAGTAAGAGTTAGAAAGTAATCAGATTGCTTGTCAGTTTAAACCTATTTCTGAAAGCAGGTGTGTGACTAGTTACTGCAGCCATAATTGGGTCCTGTCACAATCCCAAGTGGAGCTGATATTCAGGCTGAAGGCACAGCCAGTCTTCCATGATACAAAAGATCATTGCCAGAAAATGAATCACCACAGCAGCTTCAGAAAACAGTAGGGAGGAAAAAATAAAATTCTATTTTAACCCCATAATGCAGCTCACCATTCCCAGGTGATGCTTTTGCATCTTGCAGGAGCTGTGAATGCAATTGGACATGTATCTAAATAAGACTGTAGGATAGCTAAGCTGCTGGAATAAAACTAAGTACCTTGGGGAACCAGTTAATAAACATACACAATATATACTTAGCTGTGTTAGCTCAATAGTGCTATACTTGAATAGTGGTATTCAGTGGGTTAATGACATCCTCACTGGAGACAACATATCTCTGGAGACCTGCAGTAGTATAAGGAGAGAGGAGTGATCAGGGTAGCAGCATCAGGCACCAGGACCTGTGTGAGGCCAGAAAAATAGCCACAGTTATAGTGGCAGCTGATTGCACTACTATAATCAGCACCACAGCAGCTGGCACTGCCCCAAGCATTACGCAGCTGCCCTCCTATGTCTCCGTAGAGATGTGTTGTACTGCTGGCATTTGCAAACTTTACATGCCCTTGGTCAAATAGTATCTTACTTTCATCTGCTCAAGGTGGCTTCTAACAGCTACAAGTTCACTTGTCTCAGAAACTCTGCCCTTTTCCAAAAAGTCCTTTTTCTTTTATGTCATTTGTGCATCAGACTTTGCAGTCTGTAAAACTCCAAGGGCTCCTTATAATGAATCAAGTCAGTTGTACAGGCTTGTCCAAATTCATTAACAATGAAAAATCCCCAAATTTCCTCCACCTTGGATGGTGGAGGGTAGAGGCAAGTGAAAGAAAATCTCAGAACTAGGGTTCAAACTAGCTTCAAATTAATTCACTTTGGACTTATTTCTACTGAAAAAACAATAAAGTCAGAACAAGAACTCCTCCCCTTTTCTAGCTCTGTTTTGCAGTGAAAGTTTTGTGGTGGAAATGTGATTTTAGCAGCAGATTTGTTGCTTGGATTGAGGTTTAATTCATTTTGATCTCATACCTTTGGGCGCCTATACACGTGCAGTGTGTATAGACTCAATTAATCAAGGCTGCTGGAGTGTTGTAATTACTGCACCCTAGCAGGCTCTAGCATCATGTGCATCAGCATCCCCACGCTGAAAAAATGGCAGTGGGGGTGCTTTAACTAAAGCTTGTTCAATGAGCTTTAGAGTTAAATCACCCCCACCACCATTTTCCAGTGCAGGAATGCTGATACACGTGATGCTCCTGAAGTTTTAATCAGGGCAGCTTTTGGAGCCACTCTAATTAAAGCCCCCCTCCCCTGCTTCCTGGACCATGTGCATAAATGCCCTTTTATTTTGAAAAGCATGTAATGTACAACCAGACCTAAATAATCAATCAAGGCAAAACTGAGCATTAGGACCAGAAATCCTATGGTTTTTTGTTAATCTGTTCTGTATTTATCTCTCATCTGTAAAAAGAACAAAGATTTTTCTCCAGTAAATGTAACAGTATCATGATCTCTGTCATTGGTACATTATAAACATTTACGCCTACAGTAGGAAAAAGGCAGCATGGCTAAAAGTCATTGGCAGAAAGAGTGGAGAAATTAAACAGGTGCAAGCTGGACATAAACACAAGGCTTAACAGGAAACATTTTGTTACTACCATGCTCTAAGGAATTCATAAACAATGCAAAGCCTTAATTTTCTTTTCTCATTTCCTGTTGGCCCTTCAATTAAAAAAAAAAGCAAAGCGTTCAAGTGACTTGGAATCTTATTTTTTGATGATACATTATCTGCAACAAATTTGATTTGCAAAAAAAAAAGAGTCCATGAGCTTATTTTGGACCATACGGCATGTAAAAGATCCTGGTACCTTTGCTTTGATTTTATGGTAAAATCTATGCTGTTCTCCCATTTTCCAAAGTATTGCTTGTCCCCAACGATTCCCCTTTGGGATCAATCCCAAGCACAGAAAGGCCTAAGGACTTTGGAAGCTTCATATAATCTAATATTCTAGGGAAGGAAATAAGTACACTTGAGGGCCCTAAGCCTGGAACCTGAGCCAGGTGGACAAACCATCCTGAAACCCCACTGACCTCAGTGGGGTTGTGTGCGTGTGACCAGTGGCCTATACAGAACAGGTTTCAGAACCAAGACTAGAGCATGCTGAAAGATCAGGGTTATTATGCTTCATCCCTGCCAGTGTTGCAAGTTAGAGCGTATTTTAATTAGAAGGGATCCTGGTTTTCTCAGATTTAAAAAAAAAACCCAATTTTCAGATTAAAAAACATAACCCCAAATCCACATTTTTCCGTGATTAAAATGAAATACTGTTAATATACCACTATATATAGAGGAAGTGTTTCATTTTAGTCATAGACAAATGTGGATTTCAGTTACTTTTTTAATATGAAAATTGGGGATTTTTTTTAAATCAGGGAAAACCAGTATCCCTGTGGCACCAAGGTTATGGGGAGTTGCATAGTATTTCATGTATATTAAGTGTAAAACTCTGCCTTACTTTGGGGCTGCAGTTTATGCTGGCAATGTATCTGCTAGGAGATCAGAACCAAAATAATATTTTGCCTGTTGTATATTTACACAATATGGGAAGGGCATTTCTGGAAGCAGTCCTAGCCTTCTGATTTCAAACTGTTAAAGGGGAGCACCTCTGCACCTCTGGCCTCTTGTCTCTGGGGATCCCCAGGGATGTGGGGGGAATCTATCAGGGATGAAAGGCATGTCATACTCAGCTTGTCCTGCTTCAGAGTGGGAATACTCTGAAGAACTGCTCCAGACAGGAGTGATCTTACTAATTGTACTGCATTAGAATTGTAGCCACTAGTAACAATCAATTTGTCTGCTTTTCTGATATGCAAAGGTACAAAGTTCACTTTCATCTACAAACCATGAGTTATGTGAAACAGGCAGACTGTGGTCTGAGAAGGCAGCTTCCACCATAAACTGCTGGAGCTTTGCTTCCATGATCAGTGACCTGGCATCGTAACCCCTTGCGGCCTAGCAGCTCACAGCTATCCTCTCCATAGGGCTGCAGACAAAATGTGCCATTTGGTCTGCAACTCAGGCTGTGGTTGGTTTCAGGGACTGAGCACTGACTAATCATGTTGCCCTTTGTAAAGTCAGTCCTGGTTTAGCCTAAGTGAGGTCTGTGCTAGAGTTCCAAAACGCAGCTCAACAGCTCCAAATGGCCCACAGCAACAATGGCATCACTTAAACTAATGATTCTCAACCAGGTGCTGCAGAACCCTGGGCTGCCTTGAGATCCTTTCAAGGATGGCATAATAGGACATGCAACGTGAGCACTGTTAGGTGTGCGAACATGATTCGCAAGGTAAACCCAAAGATATCAAATAGGAATCCATAATGTCAAAACCATTCCACCCTGCTGTGGGCTTTCTGAGTTCTTTGCAACAGAATAAGTGCTCTAGCATTTATCTGTAGTCAAAAAATAGAGTGAAAACTAAGAGCTGGTATTTTCTGAAGGGTGCTTTGAGCCTAAGGAGGTTGAGAACCACTGACTTAAATATTTGATGTAGATGCTGTTCATGAAGCACTAAGCAGGCTTATACCCATATCAAGTCCTTGGACCAGCAAAGCTCCCTTAAAAAAAAAATGAAGATGATAAGACCCACAGAGTGTATTTTAACCCCTTCACAGGCAGAAGGAATGAGGGAAATGTCGTTTGTTTGTTTTTCTATCAACCATTGCAGTTACAGGTGAGCCCTCCTGAATGCCTAATGTAAGGCACTATGCAAATGAAACAGCTATACCAACTCAGAAGTATTTGCATGGCTATAAAAGACAGTATTTTCTTGCAGCTTGTCCCCATTCCCTTGGCTTTTGGTTCCTGTTATACCAAGACTACACTCCTCAAGTTGTTTAACAGTATGTGCCTTCCTCTTGCAGTCTATGGAACCCATGTCAGAGCTCTACCTTCAGCTCTGCAGTTAACCCTTCCCATGGGAGTAGAACAGAAAGGCAAGCTAGCATTTCCATAGCACTAGAAACCAACAGTGGTACAGGAACAGAATGATACCCTGGTCCCCTGACTGTTGTATTTGAGCCCTCTCAAGTACTTTCAGAATTAGGTCCTGCTGTACTGGTGAAGCAGGATTCTCCTTCTGGGGATGAGGATTCTCAGTACTGAGGAGGCTAGCCCAAGGTCACAGGGAATTTGTTCCACTGGCACACCTACCAGCTGCAGCCTGCCTGTCCTGTTTTCCAAGGGTGGACAGCTGCCAGGCAGATCCTCAGTGGGTTCGTCTACACAAGACGTTTAATGCCCATTAGACTAATTCTACTGTACATTAGTGCAGCTGGCAAAAACCATGCTAATGCACTAATGAACAGTAGATTAGTCCAACGGGCATTAAGTGTTACAGAAAAAGTATTTATCTGTGCTAATGCACAATAGCACCAATCATGGCACATTAAGTTAGTACCTGTTATTACAGGTACTAAACCTAATACACCATAATTATAGCACATTAATGAACGTGTAAACAAACCTACTGTCTCTCAAAAAATCCAGCCTGGTGTCTCTGAATTTCTAAAGGTCACATCTAACCACGCAGGACTGAATTCCTGCCTTGGGATGCAATCTACCTAAGTGAGCAGCTCACTGAGGAGGTCTGGGGTGATGGGGGAAAGATGGCTTGGGGCTAACACCCACGATATCAAGTTTCAATTCCTACCTCTGCCAGAGCCACATCGCTGATATGTGAAGTGCCATAGGGTTCAGGGTAAGCTAGTAGTGAGTGTTACTATCCACAGTATCTGGAAGGGTTCAGGTTTATCAGTGATGACACAGGGATAGAGGCAACACCACCTTGAAGAAAAGCATGGGAATCCCTGGCTCCCAAACTGGCTGTTTTGAATCACGTGTAGCCATGCCTAAAAGCATAATAGGGTGTCAAAGGAAATTTGTAATAACAATCAGCCTGTCTAATCCATTAACCTGTTTCTTCCCATTTCACAGATGATGTACATGGAATATGTACTATAGTATACAGCATTGCTGAAAAGGCACAACTGTTGCTATTAAATACAACTACTTGAACTTGGAGGCCCAAGTCAACATGAAAAACTGAACAAGTGTTTCTCTGCTACTGTGTCTGGGAAGCAGTATTGGTTCAAGGTTCAAAAAGTTAACCCCAGCTCAAGAGTCAAGGCTACATTACCAATGGGTTGTTTTAATGTAGCTAGTGGAAATCCCAAAATGCTGCTCCATATCCTCCCTAAAATAGTGCAAAGACACTTTCTTATGGCAAATTGATTAAGGCAGGTATCCTGGACACTCCTAACAGGTTACGTTTCACTCTTGGCATTCCATAGTTTCCAAGAAAAACAGAGAGGGCAGCTGTGTCTATGATAGGTCACACCACACATTGTGAGAAGCAGCAGCATCTTGTTCTCCTTTGAATAAGAGCAGTTTGGTGACAAGCCACAAAAGAACCATGTTGTATGGCCGATTCTTGATGTTCCTTTGAATTTCCATTGGAAAGAGACTCCAGAACTCCATATTATGAAGTCCGCTGTTCACTTTTGTATTTTTGATAGGCATCCAATATTTCTGTGATGACACTTGGATCTTCCAGTGTGGTGATGTCTCCCAGGTTGCTGCCTTCATCAGCAATGATTTTCTTCAGCAACCTTCTCATGATTTTCCCTGAGCGGGTTTTAGGAAGGCGTTTCACCACCTGGTGAAGAGAAAGAAACACACATCCCAGTAGGAACTAGATAGAAAGATCTGGGCAACGTCAGCTCTGAGACACTCCCACTGGCACAGCTCTAAGGAGGCTCCCAGGAGCTTTCTAACACTGGCTAACAATTAGTGTTCAGGATGAAGGAATACAAGTCATGTTCACTAGATTCTATCAGGTTTATTACCTTCCCTTCAGTTTTGGCACACTGGTAGTTGCTTTTGAAAAATCAGGTCACTTTAGATGCTAAGCAACAAAGCTAAAGCCCTCACCTGCAATCACCAACATTTAAAAAGTCTGGTCTCGGCATAAATCTGCACAGGCTGTGCACAAGAAGGTGGGCCTTGTGGCAGAAAGCCACCTTGGTTCCTCCCCAAAAATCTCTGCCCTATGACACTGTGATTTAAATCTCTGTGCTGTGACCATTCAATTAGGATGGGCCCAGCACACAGGGGACCACACCCTCAGCCTGTCTCTTTAGGGAACTGGAGCTGGCTGCATTCCTGAGGGAGGGGGAA